TTACCATCCCTATCCCAAGGTAACTATACGGATCCCAACAGAAACAAAATTAAACAAATTCATAGAAACCAGTTATCAAGCCGACACCTTTAGCCGACGTGCACAAAATTAGCCGACCACGTAGCCCGGGCCCACATGATTGAAAAGCGGGCCCCACTGGAGTGGGTGCAAATATACTGGTACAGGCCACGTCGCCACGCTTCTTCCTCTTCCGCCTCCTCCCTAATAAATAATTACGTTCAGATCCACTAATCGCGACGAAATTACTTCTACCCCCTTGCTTCCTCTACTTGCCCAAATTTAGCGAAATTTCTTCCCTAATTTTTCTCATGCTCGAAGAGAAATGGACGTAACGCAAGTTTCCCTCATCCACCACATCGCCTTAGTCCTCTTACTGCTTTGGGTCTTCACCTCTCTTGGCTGGGCTCATCCTGTTGTCTTCTTCATCTCTCTGCTCTATCTCTACGCGGTGAGTCTCTGATGCCCAACTTTTCATTTTTCGGATTGGTTGAGAGAAATTTTTGGTGCCCCCTATTGGGTTTTACGTTATTTTTTGAAGTATTGATGCCAAACTTGTTTGTTTCTTGATTGGTTGAGAAGAATTGTTGGTACCCATGTTGCTTAATGGTCAAAATTTGAAGCAAAAATTCTCAGGTTTGTTTGTTTTTAGATTGGTTGAGAGAAATTGTTGGTACCCATGTTGGGTTTATGTTTATGCTTGAAGCATAAAAAGTGGCCAACTTGTTTATTTCATTTATTTGGAGAAGGCAGTTGAAGTTTATGTTTGAACAAGAACAATCATTTTGGTGGATTAACCAACTTTGCTTTAGTTTTTTTTAATTCAAGTCTTGGGTTTTACATTAAAAATTTTTGATCTTGGGCAAATACCAAGGTTGCCATGAACTCGGATCTCTCCCTTATGTGAAAGGAAAATGAGGGCACACTACTTTCAGAATGTTTACTCTGGGGAGGCTTCTTTTAATTGCTTAGTTGGAAAGAAATGCATTCATTTGGAAAATGGCTTGAATTCTATAGGCTTTTTGAGGAGTTTAAGTCGTCACAAACAAGGATGCATATCATTCGTGAAGTGGACTGAAATCTGTAGGACGCTGAAGTATTTTAATTCTGAAGGAGATACATTCATTGGAAAGTGGAAAGAGTTTTGTAGGACCACAGTTTATACTTCTTGTACTGTTAAATACATCTGGTACATTCATGTTGACGTATATATAAGCCAGCTTTAAGCAGGATGGAAACTCTCTTAGGTTAACAAAAACTTCTATTTGCCACTTTTTTTGTTCCAACTCACTAATTTTTACTTGAAACGGCTCTTGTTCTTTCAAGATAAAACTCTTTGCTTGTGTTCTCTCTCCGTAAGATATTGATTGTCCTTTCTTCGTCTCATCCGCAGACATTATATTCATCCGAAACGAAAACAAAGAGCTTTGTTTTGAAGAGATATACGTTTTTGTGTTTAGAAATGTTTATAAACATTATTTTCGTTCCAGTTTGCTAACAACTATGTTTGTGTTTGAAGCTTTGAAATACCAATGCTAACTTTCAGTTGAATTGGTTGAGAAATATTGATACCCAAACTAGTTTATGTTTATAATTTGAAGTACCAGTGCCCAACTTGTGTGTTATTTCATTTGTTGAGACTTGATAGAATTTGCTTGTATCCGTCTTGGGTTTATGTTTATATTTGAAGTACACATGCCCACCTTATTTGTGTTGGAAAAAAGCAATTGAAGTTTTATGTTTGAACAAGAACAACAAATTTGGTGGATTGACCAATTTTGCATGAGGATTTTAATCAAGTCTTGGGTTTACCTAAAAAAATTAGGCTCTTGGATGAGGTTACTATGAACACGGATTTCTCCAGTGTGCAAGAGGAAAACTGGGACCCGCTATTTTCAGAAATATATTAATTTGGGGGGAAAATGAATGAAAGATTTTCAGCTAGAAAGAGAGAACTTCTATTTGAAAGAGCTCTGTAGGATGCCGACGGATGTTAATTTTATTTGTAGTTTGCGGAAACAAATAAACGTTGGAGTAAGAGGGTATAACAAGTGAGTATTAGCCAATGCAGGGCATTTACTTAAATGAAAATTTTGTTCTTTTATGCAATAATTTGCATCATGAGGCCATTATATATGCTCAAGAAGGAGCTTTGTATGAAGGAATTTATAATACATTTAGTACAATCTTAGAACCCCTAGCAATTTCTCCAGAACTCTAAACCGGTGGTGAGCTATTTTGAGGTACTTTTTATATTCTCAGGTCCACAATACATGCCATAAGAACTAAAAGATGCATATGCGGGCTTAAAAGATGCTGGTTTAACCTTACGATTTGGATACTTCTCTTGGTTGCTGATGTTAAATAATTTTGTTTTTATTTTATTTTTACATTCATGTATGTTAAGTTTTATTACCTAGCTCTTAAACAGTTCATATACTGTTCCTCTAAATAAGCATATTCTTACATGAAGTCTGACTTATTATTGTTAATTCACATATTATAGGTAAATGAACAGTATTTAGTAAGATTGCGGAGGAAGTTGCAATATGAAGAAAGAAAATCAGCCAACCAAAGAAGGGTATTGATTTTATAAGTCTCTCATTCATAACATTACCTACGTGTTTAGTTGTCAAAGATCTACTCCCTTTCCCTGTGACTCCAATGTTGAGCAGTTTATCTCATGTATTTTCTCTTGGCAGCTTCTTTCTGATTCAGAATCAGTGAGGTGGTTAAATCACGCAGTTGAAAAAGTTTGGCCGATTTGTATGGAATATATAGCATCACAAATATTTCTCCAGCCTGTCATACCGTGGTTCTTGGAAAAGTACAAGCCTTGGACTGCTGTATGGAATTTCATGTTACCATCTTTTACTATCTCAATGGAATATATTTTCAGATTGCTGCATGATATATAGTTTATTAAAGACATGTCATTTTCATTAAAAAAAAAGGAACACATCTTGTCAGTTTTCAACCTTTTAACCTTTGGCCAGGTTATTATTTGAAAATTGCTTTTACATTTTTTGGTTAGGAACCTTGTCATTTTAAGTTGTACATGTTTGTGATCATATAACTTGGGCACTATAATCATGTACACAATGTCTATTACTATGGGACATAAGAAATGAAAGGAATAAAAGATTTGAAACCGTGTAGTGGAAGTGGAACTTCATTTTACTTGGTAAAAAGCATCTTGCAAGAAACTTTGATGATTATCTAGGTCAAGAGTCTCTAGGAAATGCTTTCTAAACTAGGACAAAGTGGCTCCTTAATAGTTTAGTTGAAAAAGGATATCTTTAGCAACCTAAGGCTGCCATTAAGATTTAAAATTTGTTGTCCTGGTTTTTGTGCTGATATAATGCTTAATTAATATTTCTCTGCAGAAAGAAGCAGTGGTTCAGCATCTTTATTTGGGTAGACGGCCACCCATGCTCACTGATATAAGGGTTCTGGGTGAATCAGTTGATGATGACCACTTGGTTCGTCCTAATCGTGTACCTATATATTATTGGATATTTCCTATTTAGGTTTTCGGTTTTTAATGCAAGTTAGTGTGGATCCTTTCAGGTTCTGGAATTGGGAATGAATTTTCTTTCTGCAGATGATATGAGTATAATACTTGCGGTGCAGCCAAGAATGGGGTTTGGCATGTGGGCTAACATGCATATTACTGGCATGCATGTGGAAGGGAAGGTGTAGTAACATACTCATTTTCTTAACTATATTAGAATATCATTAAAGTCTTTCTAAAAGGGTATATGGACATATAAATATTTGTTGGTTTGTAGTGTTTCTTAAAGCCACTAAGCAGCTAAGAATTTGCACAAATTACTTTGAAACTTCAATAGATCTGTGTCAAGACCCACATACCTAATTTATGTAGCCATAAAACTTTTTTTAAATGTATCTTCCTGTTTTAATTGTAGACCTATAGTAAAGAAATTAAAATCATCCAAAAAGAAAACAAAAGGAAACAGAAAAAAAGGAAGAAACTTAAGTCCTCCTTTTTTGTCCAAACACTCACTACCTTTCAAGTCTATTAGACTTGTAAAACTACTTGCGAGTATTTTAATTCTAACAAGAAAAATAACATACAGGTTTTGGTTGGCGTTAAATTTATACGGGAGTGGCCATTTCTTGGACGTATGCGCATATGCTTTGTTGAACCACCATACTTTCAGATGACAGTAAAACCAATCTTCAATCATGGAGTTGATGTAACTGAACTTCCTGGAATTGCAGGATGGCTGGTAAGATCTCATTATGCTAGCTTAATCAAACCTTTTCTTTTCTTTTCCTCCTGCTGTTGAGAGTTAAGAAAATAGATGGTTTGTTTCTCAGAACCTCTTTTTGTTTTTTCCCCAGGACAATATGCTAGCTGTTGCATTTGAGCAGACATTGGTTGAGGTTAGCCTAAAAATAATAGTAAACTAGCAAGCTACTTAACAATATTCTAAGCTAGTATTGTTATTCTGTTGAAAATATACTATATGCATATCTAATTTAAATATTTTATTCCAGCCTAATATGTTGGTTGTTGATGTGGAAAAATTTGCTACTTCACCAAAAGGTAATGTGATATGAGGTGTTTCTTTGTCTTTCTCGTACTGTAATGTTTTAGCTTTCTTTTCTGTATTATTACCAATTTTCAATTAAAACTTAACATAGAAATCCCTTGAAGTCCTGAACCTTTATCACATAAAATAATTTTGCATGCGTGCTGAGAGAATTATACTCTCTTTTTAATCTCTTATATTGCCTTTAATGCAAGAAAAATTAATCAGCACTGAGTTGTGGGATTCGGAGGTTGAGTATTTTTCTTGAATTTTCTTATCTAAATAGTATTTTAGCAACATGGTGCTGACTATGAAGCCCTAAACTTCAGAGAAGTGTTACCAGATTGCAAAACCAACTAACCAGATGTCAATCATTTTAGTTGGCTCTTGTTACCAGATTAGGAAATGAAGAACAAGATACAGCGAGTCTTCCTTTAAACCGCGAGTCCAAGTTGGCACTCAAGGCATATTGAGCCCGTCAGTTATTTTGAGCCAGTAAACCAAAGAGCTTTGTCATAAACTCATAATATTAGTGACGTGTTGTCTTCGAGCAGTGAGCTAATACAAATCCACAGATGCTGGTTTTATTAATCAGTAGTAGAGTTATAGAGTTATTAGTATATTAGGAAAGTTAGAAAATTTGTTTTAAATTTGAAAGCTATGTAATTTTATTATACTTGCTCTGCTATAAATTAATCTTACTATCACTCTCTGGGATATGAAGTATTTTCCGAAATACAGCATGGTATAAACCAATCCTCTCCCAGCTCTTAATACAACATGGTAGCTTTTGTTGATGATTACTCTAGAATGGCCTGGTTATTTTTGTGGTAAGATCGATTGAAACTTTTTTTTTGTGTTTTCTTTGTTTCGTCAAGAAATTGTGAATCAATTTGGATGCTATTAAAATTTTACCTTCTGATAATGCCATGGTCTGAATTGCATTTTTAAACTTTAAAACTGTTATGCTTTCAGAGAAATGGTACACCATGGATGAGAAAGCTCCTATAGCACATGCCAAAGTGGAGATTATTGAGGCAGCTGATCTGAAACCATCAGATATGAATGGTAACTTCATAATTTTCTTATTGCAAATATCCTCGAGATGCATGAGAAACTTAGAACTGTTGTAAGAGAAAACATATATTGGTTCATTGCAGGTCTCGCTGACCCGTATGTGAAAGCCCATCTTGGTCCTTATAGGTTTCGCACAAAGGTTCAAAAGAAGACACTGTTCCCAAAGTGGCTTGAAGAATTTAAGGTCCCTATCACTTCCTGGGAAACACCTAACTTGCTTGTTCTTGAGCTGCGTGATAAGGACCACATCTTTGATGACGTGATGGGGTCTGTTCCTCTCCTGACTAACTAAATTCAACACACATAAGTAGAATGCAGAAGAATTTTTAGAATTTGATTAGTGTTTCCTGCTCTAGTAGCCACTAGATCCAGCATGAGAAGCTCACATATCATCATTGATCTAAAATGGCTTCATAGACGTTTTATTATTGACCATTATGTGTAGGACTAATTTCAGAAGCACCCTCTACTATGACATTATTTCAAAATTTGGTTCAAATGTCATGTAGGACTGATTTCAGTTTAATTTGAAAAGACTAAATTGTGCTCTATATGGATGGGCACAACTGTATCGTCATCTAAGATTCACGAGGTGCAAGTGCTAGTAAAATAATTCATGGGATAAAATGGCCACCCCACCATTGCACAGGGGGTGCATCTACAATTAAAATCATTCTTGGATAAAATTGCTGCTGTGTCCTGATGCTGATATTGCTATAGTCTAAAGACTCTAAACCTGGAAAACTTTTGGTGCACCTTTTAGATGCTGCTCTTCCACATGCCCGAATAGCACGTTTGACAAAGAGGGAAATGTTGCCACTCACTTTATTCAGGAATTGAGTTATAAAATTGTCTTTTCTTCAAAAATGATATCCTAAATAACTGGCATTAAAGATTTATTGTGAGTGGTTCATGAAATTGCAAGGTCTGTGTGGATAAACTTTTGGATTTACATTTAATTCTTAATAGTGTCAACTGTAATTTCAGCTTTCATCAGCTGTTACACTTGTTTTGCTGATTGCCATTGTTTAATTTCGCAAACTGCGACTTAACTTAAAAAGATTTCGAATCCTCACCGTTATTACTGTTCTCTTCCCTGTATAGTTTCTGTATCTGCAGGAAATTCTATGTATTAAAGATTTTATATGCTTGCAGAGATTGTGCAATAAACATCACTGAATTGAGGGGTGGACAAAGGCACGATAAGTGGTTGCCATTGCAGAACATTAAGATGGGAAGGATGCACTTAGCAATTACAGTACTTGAAGGTGATGATGACAAGGTAAGTAAACATACTGTTCACATGGACAAGCATCCTATTCTCTATGATCTTTGAAGAATAAAGTTTTTTAGGGGAAGGAGCAGAAGAATGAGCAGATGGGCGAGTATCAGAATGCTGACGACGACAATGCAACTAAAACGATCGATGCAGATTCACCGAAATCAAATTTCATGGCTCAAAACCAAGATACCGAAAAAGTGTCTAATAAAGGAAGTCGTCACATGGTTGATGAGTTTGAGGCGATAAACATCGAAGGGCAAGAAAAGACAGGAATTTGGGTTCATCATCCCGGGAGTGATGTATCTCAATCATGGGAGCCTAGAAAAGGACGAGCTCGCCGGCCTGAAACCAGACTTCACTGTGAGACTAGCGAGGGCTTTGACAGTCCAAGATCAGCAGAATCTGGGTCTCATCTCAGTGATAATACGAAGATCAATGAGGACAGCGGGAAGAGAAGTCACCGACTTAGTTCTTTCAGGAGAGGAATACAAAAGATTGGTTCAATTTTTCATTCGAAGGACGATGAGCTTGTTCCTAGTCCACAAGGTAATCTCCCTACTCCACATGCCAATCTTCGGTCAGTTGATGAGAAGGGAACATCTGTTAGGGTTATATATGATGACGGCTTCAGTGTAAATAATGATATCTGCAGCCCTGAGAAGAGCGAAGGTGAAAACACAAAGAGAGGCAAGGTGAAGGGGATTGCCAAGAACATTATAAAACAGGCTGGTAAGCCAGCGCATGCTTTGAAAAATGTGCTGAGCAGGAAAGGTTCATTCAGTATGAATGAGGACCAGGAATCGGAAATGGATGAGAAATTGTCTCAAGGATCAGAATCTATTGCAGTTGAAGGGAATGCAATGGAATCTATTGAAGTTAAACAGGAAGGTTCTCAGCCTAGTCCTGGTATTGAAAAAGATGTCGAGAATTCTGCAGAGGTTGAAGAAAATGGTAAAGTGGGAAAATCAGCGACTAGTTAAGAAGATTGTGCAGATAGAAATACCATAGAGAGGTTTGAGGCTTGAAAATTTAGAGATGAGCTTATGATTTTCTAACTGATGCTCTTGACACTGTTTCTGTATTTTAAGATCAGTTTCCCTCAGAACTCGGTAATTCTTTTCTGTAGGTTGCTGTAATTAGTATGCTGGAATAAGAGTGCTTAATGTTGATAATTGGCTGTACCCAGTTCTGATTTTTTTTTAAAGTCTCTGTTCCCTTACTCTTCTTTGCTTTTAGAATTCTGTTAGAAATTTTTGTACTCTTAAATTGGAAAAACTTGTTCATCATCTCTCCTTTTTCATTACATTTGAATCTCCAGGCTACTGGCTTAATGAATATTTGAAGGGGGTCCTGATAAGTTTTTTCGACTTGTCTGTTCCATTTTTCAGACTGGTTTTCATATTCATTACATCTTTTTCTTTAGCAAGGGGGGTTCCTTGTCTGAAACAGTCGGCATACTGAATCATTTCTTGATAACATAGTGACTTACCTTGTATAGCAGTTTGCTACCCATTATTCTTTACCTTATATTTTTCTTTAATGTTGGCCGGACTGCTTATGTGAAATTTATTTGCGCCACGTGACGGTCGATGTTGCAGGTATGAATTGATAGCTTCGTTTCATCATTTCTGTTATGCTTATTAAGTTTATTATACAAACAGGACTTACATATTTTACAGTGTGATTAAAATATCTTCAGAACCTACTGTTTGTGCTATGGCAAGAAGTCTCCTCATGATTTGATTTGGGCAACATTGAAAATATGGTATCCATTGTGATGGTGGAGAGGTTAAAGCTATCAAGCTAGCGTCATCCTTTGCCCTTACAAGGTGACATGGTTTAAGAAGAGGAATGAGCTCTCAATGACTCAAATATGCAAAATCAAGTTCTCTATTGGAAGCTACGGAAATAAAATTTATTTTGATGTTCTTCCTATTGATGCTTGTCATTTACTCCTTGGTAGACCATGAGAATATGATTGTGATGTCCAGCATGATGTGTGTGTGTGTGTGTGGGGGGGGGGGGGGGTTGGGGGGGATGCAAACTCCTTCTAGTCAAGGAGGGAGTAAGTTCTGTTTTGGGCAGGCTGCTCAAAGACGTTACATTCATTGTTTCGTCACAAATCATTGGGAATTTGCTCTCTTGTCAAGTTTGTCAGAAAATTTGCAAGAACTGATGGTATTTGCATCGTCACAAGACGTTGGCAGGAAAGATGAAGGTCGAAAGGCGGTCCCAAAAGAACTTTTAGCCTTGCTGGACAGATTTGAAGTTATTGCTCCAAGCGAGTTACCAACGGGTTTGCCTTCACTTCGAGATATTCAGCACCACATTGATTTCGCTCTAGGTGCTATCCTTCCTAACTCGCCTCAATATAGAATGTCTTCTGGTCAACAATCTGAATTGCAAAGACAAGTTAACGAGCTACTTTCTAAGGGCCTTATTAGGGAAATCTTTGAGTCTTTGTGTTGTTCCTGCTCTTTTAGCCCAAAAAAAGAATGGGTAACGGAGGATGTGTGTTAATAGTAGGGCTGTGAATAAAGTTACTATCAAATATAGATTTCCCATCCCTCGTCTTGATAGCATGTTTGATATGCTTGTTGATGCTACTAAAGTCTTTTTGAAAAATGATATTCGCAATAGCTATCACCAGTTCGAGTTAGACTTGTTGGCGCCTGTGGTTAAATCTGGAATAATACAGATATATAACAACATAAACTAAAGTGTAGTAATTTAAAAATTTTCAACTCAGCTGCTGTGCGTTTGTAAAACATGTGCTTAAAACATTATTTGGCCTACTCCGGTGCAATGATCCCAATGCCAAATTGCTTCCAGGAACAGCAGTCCAGTACTCCGGTGTGCACCGACCCAGTACTGTCAAGATCTCCTCGATCTATAAGGCAAAGACCTCCTCGATCTATCAGGAAAGATTTCCTCGATCTATAAGGCAAAGATCTCCTTGATCTATCAGGCAAAGATCTTCTCGATCTATAAGACCTTCTCGGTCTAGGCACTGTTCCTACGAGTACTAGCTATTCTACAACATATATATATGTATATATTGATTGTTGTTTTTGGAATGAATTTTTCTTAAGGATTTAGGGTCTATTTATAGCGTTTGGAAAAATACTATACACCAAAATTTTCTTCGGGGGGGCCCACCACTTTTGAAAAATTAAATCAAAACATGGGCGGCTGCAACAACCCATGTGAAGTTAAAAAAAATATCCAACAATCCTCCATAATTTTTTTTATAAACTAGTGTCGTGTAACAATGCCCTCGTTTCAATCATTGTGCAAAAGAAAGATGTCACCAGGACTTGAATCCCCTTTAGATCAATTGAATAAAAGATAGATGCATGGTATCGCAGAGACTTGAACCAACACATATATAAAAATCCAGAGATCACACAAGATCAAACTTATATGTGGTAGTTTTCACTTTGAACCACACTTGCCTTTGCCTTTGCCTTTGCACATTATGACCTTGTGCATGTCTTGGTTTCTGCTAGGGCTCTAGGTATCTTTCCACAAGACACCATAGGAGACGGCTAAATCTCCACCCATGCATAAGTGAATTCTTTAGGCATGTTTCCTATCAAACATCCCGCATCCGAAATGATTTGAACTCATTAAGACTTAATAGTCACCCTCTCTCATGATAGGATTCTAGATGAGTCCTTTAGGTGTGTTTCCAATCTAACACCCCACATCCGAAATATTTTGGACTCATTAAGGCTTAATAGTCATCCCCTTTACATGATAGGATCCTAGGTGAAAAGATCAAAGTTTTGCTCGGGTAGTTCAACCATGTAAGGATAGTACTAGAGGGAGATCAAAGATCAATTAAGTATCACGTTCCTTGCGGAGCGCGTTACGCAACCCCCAAACCTTGACTTAGACACCGACTAATCCAAAAAAACTTGAACCCCCTTAGGATTTCACTTGTAAATCTTACTTGACTTTTAAACCATTTATCTTGTCATTAGTAGCACAATCTTTGAACTAATAACTAAATATAAATGGTAAGTATTTGTAAGAATCACCAAACTTTGTAAATCTTACTTGACTTTTAAACCAAATATCTAATCATTAGTAGCATAAGGTTTGAACTAAAAACTTGATATAAATGGTAAGTATTTGTAAGACTTACAAAATTTTGAGACCCATTCCAACAGACATCCTTTCGACTATGTCCTTTTTCAGATCTTTAGTCAAAGGATCAACAACATTCTCTAAAGACCGGACGTCAATCACAGAGATGACTCCTTGACAAATATCTTACATGCTTTTTACAAATATCCTAGAGTTTTCTAGAATTACAAATTATCTTCTAACAAAAGCAGCATTGATGCAACATTGATGATCTATCTTCTTGAATCTTGACAGCTGTTAACTACCAATTATCCTTAGATGATTTCCCAATAAACAACAATTCATTTCAACTCTCGCTTAATTTGCAACAAGAAGGGACACTTCTACAGGGACCCTAAATAGGGGACCCAATGGGAGACATGTGAGCTGTCTCCCTCCGATTAGATGATGCACTGATTTGGGGTCCCCGGGGCATTAATCAACAAGAAGTCATGTGCCTGAGCTGAGTCATGTGACCTGTCATTACAATGTATACCTACATTGTACTTTATATTTCTTTCCAGTGATCATCATATTTTATATGATATCTTAATTTTGTATATAGTCTTGCTTATTCCTCCTAAATGAATTAGAGAATCTTTGTATTCTTTCTTCTCTCCCTTTCCACATAACAAAAACGGAAATATTGCGAAATCTATTACCACTTATTGGCATACTGGATGACGAGCTCTTGTGTACTTAACGCATTACTTAAGTTTACAATCATACAATTTGTTGCACTTTCTAAAAAGCATATTTATGATGTTAGTATCCGCGTTTTGTTTTTGATTGTCCCCTTCGTTTAAAATTTGAACTAGATGAAGTCTTCACGATAATATGTTTGTCCTATTTTCCGTCCTTTTTGTTGATTTCTAGATTCAATAGTTAGGATGTGATATGCTCAACCAAGTCTTTATCCTAAACATTTCGGATCAGCAAATTGAATTTTATTCTTCCATTCTGTTCTATGAAGGGTCATCTCCTTCGCTAAGTTAATCATTATTATATCCTTTTTAATTGCTTCAAACTAAGTTCTCCTAGGTCTACCTCTAGATCTCACTTTTCCTAATAAGTGCATTAAGAATCTCCGCTATATATGACTAAACTATCCTAGTTGATTCTCTCTCATTTTATCGTTCATAGAAACAATATCTAATTTAATACGGATATACTCATTTCTTATCCTATTTTTTAGTATATATCTATAAGATCAATGTAATATTCTCAGTTCTGCTACACTTATTTTTTGTACAAGTATTTTTAATTGAGCAAGATTTTGATTCATAGCATATAGTTGACCTTATAATTGTTCTATAGAAATTTCCATTTACTCATAGGTATTCTACGATCACACATAAGAATCCTGAAATACTCTCCAGTCTAAACATCCTGATATAATTTGATGTACAACATCATCCTCAATCACCATCAAGGTGAATGATTAATCTTAAATAATGAAAATGACTACTTTTAGATATTCATGATAATCAACATATACTATATACTCTTTTCCCTTTCAGTTTTACTGGAGATGCATTCCATGTTTTTTTTCATTTTGTTCTACTATTTTTAAATTTTTAGTTTCAACAGCTTGTCTCAACTTTTATGCTTAAGAAATTATACAATTTTCTAGTCATGTCCTAATACTATATCATCAGTAAATAATGTATATCATGCGACTTCAATCCTGAATATGTCTAGCAAGTTGTTTATTGAAAATTTTAACTTGGTTGAATTATATCTTTACAAATGAACGTGCCATCATCCCCATCATCGAAACCCTAACTTCAGCTCCGATCCAAGATCCGCCCCCAATGTCGCCGCCAACATCCAGTCTAGGATCCGAACCCTAACCCTAGCTCCTCCTCCAATGGCGGCATCACCCTCAGCGGAGTGGCGCTTCCTCTACCCGGTCATCTCCATCTCCTTCATCTCCCTCCTCCTCTTCCTCTCCGCCATCTCCGGCCTCACCGCCTCCTCCTACTTCCTCTTCTCCCGACTTCCGACGCCGTCCTCCTCCCGGCGAGGCCCCGCCGCCCTCCCCTCCTTCGCCTACCTCATCACCGGCGCCCGCGGCGACGCCAGCAGTCCTCCTCCTCCTCCTCGCAGTCTACCACCCGAGAAACCGGTACCTTCTTCATTTGTCGGATAAAGAGAGGCGCTCGCTAGCTATGTCGGTGAGCGTGGCGTTGCCGGCGGCGAGGGTGTTTGGGAATGTGGATGTTTTTGGTGTTAGATATTTTGTTAAGAAAAGACAATTTTGCCTTCATGAATAGTAATAAAAATTTTATAATTAAAACATGTTTTTATTAGCAATTAAAAATATGTGTAACGGCTATATAATTATGGGGAACATTACAAAACTTATGACGAACATTACAGAATTAATTACGGGTTTTGTAACGTCTTTTCCAACCCTATATATATATCCGTATGTTGAGCTCAAAATGATAAGAAAAAATATACAACAAGTTTTTCTTGTTTTTCTTCTCTCCCCTACATACTATTTTCATCTACATCTTAGTTTTATTTTATGGGCAACTTCCTTCATCTGAGTTGAAGCTCTGCACTCTCGCCCGAGTGCAGAGGCCGGCCGTTTCCGGGGGCTTTTACCGCTAGGAGGGAGGGAACCATCTGCGCCAGGTCGATAGGCGGGTTCTCAATCTTGTAGGGCATTGAATACACAACTGCTCCCGATCAGGCCAGTTTTAATTGTTTATTTTTTCGGATTTATCTGCATGCTTTAATCTTAATTATTTGATAAATTTCCAACAACCTAGAAGATTGAAAAGTTTATAGCTTTTTCTTTTAATCCGGGAAAAAAAAATATATCTCTTTCTGTTTAAAAAAAAAGAGAAAATTAATAATAGTTAATTTGTTGTAATTTGCTTTACTTGCTCTTGTTTATTTGTTAACTAATAATTTAATTTAGTTGTTATAAAAATAATATTAAAAAAAGAAAACTTTTGTTACTGTTCACCGAGGGTTACTGTTCACTCGAGAATTTTTCTGTTTATTAAGCAATTTTATTATTGTTCTTCTAATCTAATTGCTTTCATTATTTGTTGGCATAACTAGTAATTAATACTATTAGTTAATTGCTATAAAAAAAACGGTTACTGTTCATCCAAAGCAGTTACTGTTCATCCGAGATATAAATGTTCATAGGATTAATTAGTTGTTGGTTCATCCGAGATATAAATGTTCATAGGATTAATTAGTTGTTGATTAAAATTCGGAAAAACAGTTATTTAAAAAAAAACAGTTACTGTTCATAAAAAGAATTCAGTTACTGTTCACCAAAATATCTTATTGCTTTAATTATTTGTTTAATATTATTGTTGTTTAAAAAAAAATGAAATATTTTCTATTACTATTCATCAGAAAATTAATTCGAGATTACAGTTTCTTTCTGTTCATCCGTTTTAATCACTATGGTTAATTGCTAAAATTAATTTGTTACTGTAATTACTATTAATTATTCTTAACTAGTAATTAATCTAGTAATTATTGTGGTTAATCGTGCTTTACCATTCCTCTATGAACTGCGATGTGTGCTTGATTGGTCCTGCACAACTATATCTCTAATGATTTATGACTGGCTTGCCTTTGTCATCAACTATGATGATGTTATGTCCTTTGAACTTCCTTAGCTATATATCCTTAAGTAATGTGTCATTTCTAATCATGAACACCTTAAGTGATAGATCATGTCTAGTTTCTCTTCTATTGTATGTGAATAAAACTTTCCCTTGTGCTAGTGGATAAGCATGCATTTGAAACATGCTATAAATTTGCAGCAGTATACATATTTATCCTTGAAAATTTCATATACATGGTTTTGACAAGTGAAAAAAATCTGGATATATATATGCTTTGAAGTATTTAAATTTTTTCATGGTTTAATGCCTTCATTTATTTAAGCTATCAATATGGTGCCTTCTATAAGCTTAGTACAGAAGGTGGTAAAAGTGAATGCAGATTTGTTCAGCAACTTAAGTAGCCGTTGTCTGCAGCAGATGGGTTTTTACTCTCAAGACATGAAAATGATGAGGTTCGAACATCAATAGGAAATATTTTAAAGTTTCCATATGCTGTTAAGGAACAAAAACTCATTGAGTGAACCGATTCAAGCTTTCTTGGATTAGTTGGTGTCTAAGGCAATGTTTAGGGGTTGCGTAACGCACTCTGCAAGGAACGAGGTACTTAATTGATCTTTGATCAACCTCTATTACTATCCTTACCTGGCTAACTACCCGGGCAAAACTTTAATCTTTTCACTTTAGGAGTTTTTGGTTTGGAATAAGAGGACCGGAATTATGAAAAAAAAAATTCATATGCATTTATTTAATTACGTTTCTTGCATCATATATTGCCTAATGATAAATGATCAATATATGAGCGAACCAAATCAAAGAGGTGCATCTTTTAAAATTTCTATTTTATATGGTGGATTATATTTTAAATCTTCAAATGTAAAGTTTATTTTTTTAATTGCGTTATAATGGATATTGCAATAAATGTTCATATGTCCTTTTAGATAACTTGCATTTGTTACATGATTAATTACAAGGTTTTTTGCAAGAATGTACTTGTAAAATTTAAAGCACGCATTTACAAATATTATTATTATTATTATTTGTATAAGAGGTGGTACTAGAAAATGGAAACATAAATTTGGAAGGTCTCTTTTGCAGACAACCAATTTAAATTTGGAAGGTCTCATTTGTAGACAACCAATTTAAATTTGGAAGGTCTCATTTGTAGGCAACCGATTTAAATTTTGGAAGGTCTCCTTTGTAGGCAACCAATTTATAACCTCTTATAATAGAAGAATTTTAATAAAAAAAAATTATGCATATGAATTATGAAGTATGAAATATATTGTTCTCTTGTATGCTCTGCATGTATCTATTATTAATTTCATTCATGTATGTGCATATGCATAACTGCAGAATTTTTAGTTCCACATTAGTTTGAAATGTTCAGATATTAAGGTCAATCTGCACAAACACTATGTGTTTACATCTTCAGATATAGACTATGATCTTTTATGATCATAGATCATGACCTAATGTCAATTTCAAACAATATGATGGACTAATTACAAAATAAGAACTTGATAAATAAATACAACGCCTGCTAAGCAAAGTTATGATTCTAGACTTTGTAAAGTCTGTAAAAAGAATCTTGTTGATCCTTTGACTAAGGGATTATCCAGGAGTGTGGTTCTGGATTCATCGAGGGAGATGGGATTAAGCCCATAAATAAGGTCACTGACAGCGGCAACCCAACCCTTATTTGGAGACGTAGTCCCAATGTCGGTTCAATGTGGTAGAAACAAGCTGGACTAGTGACACTCGTGTGGAGCATCGACCTAGATATATTTATATATCATTATGTAGCATTTGCTACTACCCCTTCTCTATGATGACGATGCTCTTATGATACAGCTGGCTAGGCTGAGTTTTACTCTTAATAAGTCCAACGCGTGTATTGTGGGGGGTATTAAATAAACAGCTGTAGTACCCTTTGAGGACTTACCTACGTGAGAGGAACCGTGATGGCCGCGGTTAGGGGAGGCTGGGCAAACCCCTAGAAACTCTCATAAGTCGGTTTATTGTGAGCATGACCTTTAACGCTCAACCCGCTTTGCTCAATAAATGAAGCGTATTGTGTGTGTTTTCATCAATACCTGATTAAAGGGGCCTAATTCAAGGCCTAGTCCATTATGTCCCTCAGGTGGCGATGAACTCACTAAGGAAAGGTTCAAAGCCGGAAGCTACCTCTCCCGAATTCACGATACGAAAGGTTGCCCAACCTATATTTGTTTTATGATTTCTTGATTTATTTATTGATTTCTGAGTCTTCAGTCAATATTGCCTTTTGGGGGAGACTGTTAGATGTTTTGTTAAGAAAAGACAATTTTGCCTTCATGAATAGTAATAAAAATTTTATAATTAAAACATGTTTTTATTAGCAATTAAAAATATGTGTAACGACTATATAATTATGGGGAACGTTACAAAATTTATGACGAACGTTACAGAATTAATTACGGGTTTTGTAACGTCTTTTCCAACCCTATATATATATCCATATGTTGAGCTCAAAATGATAAGAAAAAATATACAACAAGTTTCTCTTGTTTTTCTTCTCTCCCCTACATACTATTTTCATCTACATCTTAGTTTTATTTTATGGGCAACTTTCTTCATCTGAGCTGAAGCTCTGCACTCTCGCCCGAGTGCAGAGGCCGGCCGTTTTCGGGGGTTTTTACCGCTAGGGGGGAGGGAACCATCTGCGCCAGGGCGATAGGCGGGTTCTCAATCTTCTAGGGCAGTGAATACACGACTGCTCCCGATCAGGCTAGTTTTAATTGTTTATTTTTCGGATTTATCTGCATGCTATAATCTTAATTTTTTGATAAATTTCCAACAGTTGGGAAGGCGGATGCGATGACGAGGATGGGATACATTTTATTAACAGGTAATTTGTCTTGACATTAGTTTTTCTTGGTACTATTTAGGAGAACTGCAGCCTTAACATTTTAATTCCAAATTACAGTTTTCGGTGACAGAGCACTTCGGAGATGATAGTAACGTTCATCCTAAGCCCCCTCCTGGGGTGTACTTCATTTATGATTTCTCTCCGATCAAGGTGAGTTACTGAAGCATCACACTGATGATTTTATTTTGAGTTTGAAGAAATTTTCAAAATTGAAATAGACCCCATTCACTTTTAATTATAGAAATCGATCCACTTTGAGTTAATTGCGATACTAATTAGTTGGGGTTACCAACCCCGACTAATTAGTAAGCTAATTACAAGCGGGGTCAAGGAACGAGAAGATTTGCGGCTGCTAATTAGACTACTAATTAGTCGGGTGGCAACTCTGACTAATTAGTACCATAATTAACTCAAAGCGGGTCGATTTCTATAATTAAAAGTGAATGGGGTCGGTTTCTTTAAAAAAAATTCTGTTGAGTCGATTTTGAAAATTTCTTTCTTTT